CATCGATGTTATCGTTCGAAAAGCCTTCGCAACACTTTTTACCATTTTAGAAATGTTCGGTGTAACGATGCTTCGATTTTGATAAGGCTCTATAAGACATATGTTGTTCCCATACTCGAATACGGTCCACAGTTATGGAACCCTCTTACCAAGAATCTTCAGCAAAAATTGAGAAAGTTCAAAAAACTTTCACGAGGATATTAATGTATAAATGTTTTCCTTACCCAACATACCCGCGATCTCTACCGACCTATGATGACCGCCTGCACCGTTTCAATCTTAAAACATTATTGTACAAAAGAGTACTCAGCGATATAGTATTCTGTTTTAAAATGCTGAGATGTGAACTCAAGCTACGGCCGAGTAAGTACTGGCTAATCAGACCGTGCAGAGGTCGTACCACTTCGTTAGCACTACAATGCCCTAAACTGGACAGTAATCATAGGGTCACTGTATTTCATTGGTATTCGCTTTTCTTCCGTGGAGCAAGATGGCTTCAACTATTACAATTAGACCTGCAAAAAGCGCGAAATACCGATGCGTTCAAAAAGAAATTGAGGAAGCTAGACCTTCTTGCTTTGTCAGGCATACAAGATTTCTAGACGTGTATAGCTTAAAGAGAATCCAGTTATGGGTATCGTTTCTCTTACTGTGCGTTTTATGACTTTTTCTGCTGTTTAAATTTGTAACTGGTTTTGTTTTCATTGCTTGCTACTGAAGCGCACCTTTGTGTGTATTTCGAATAAATGAATAAATAAATAAATAAATAAATAAATAAATAATACTATGGTACAACTACTAGTCTTGGCACTGCACACTTGTTTCGAGTGGTACAAGAGCGTAATTTTGGTATCCTTACTATATATAAACCGCAAATGTCCGTTTGTACGTTTGTACGTTTGTACGTTTGTTCGTTTGTACGTTTGTACGTTTGTCTGTAACACTACGTTATATGGTGCCGTTTGGAAATCAACTGGAACACCTCAGACAGGTTACAACAAGAGAGGAATGGGCCGGACTCCTTGGGTAAACGTGACCTGAACTAGCTCCGCCCACGAGGGGCGGAGTGTCCCGCTAGGGGCGGGGCGTCACCGAATTCTGTAACTC